ACGGCAACGGCAACGGCAACGGCAACGACAACGACAACGACAACGACAACGACAACGACAACGACAACGACAACGACAACGACAACGACAACGACAACAACAACAACTACAACAACAACTACAACAACAACAACAACAACAACAACAACAACAACAACAACAACAACAACAACAACAACAACAACAACAACAACAACAACAACAACAACAACAACAACAACAACAACAACAACAACAATTTATTCGCACCATCAAGTAAAATAACATTACATGATATTTTATATATATAAATATTATATGGCACAGGTCACCAGAAATAGTGAAAACTAAACCAGTCTAGTGACCTTTTATAAAAAAAATGAAATAATGAGTTTTACATCATTTTGTATAATTATTTAACTTATATAATTTTTATTTTGTATAACTTATAGAAATTTACGGGCGAAAACATTTGCAAATCGATGGACGGGAACCTATGACGTGGTAAAGCCCACGTTGGAAACCAAAACATCTTATGTAGTGAGAAGGAATAATGGAACTGAAGAAGAAATTGTCCGTTACAATTACCTTAAACCTTAGAAGATTCGACCTGTCAAGAAACCAATGTCACGAAATCCACCATAGAGGAATGGGGCCGGACACCCAGCACTGGATACCAGTCAGGACAGTGAATCTGACAGCAGAAAAGAGGAAATGCAACCAGAGAGAAGATATCCATTATCCAGAATGAATTCAAAGACTTCCAGAAAGATACACATAATACTTCTAATTGGTGTGATATATTGACATTTAGTTACATTGACAAATAGATGCTCGTAAATAGCAGGCCTGCTTGCAGGATATTAGGCACGGACTTTAATTTAGGCTTAATTAATCGAGACCAACGTTGTTGTTGCAGATGTATTCGGGATTAATATAAAATACAAATTTACAAAAGTCACAGATTTGGTACTGTTTTATGTCATAAATGAAAAATTACGAGGTTACGTTCCCCCTCCCCCACCTCCCCCTTCCAAGTTTCTCCTCAGTATTGGAGGAATTACAAAATTGGTCTTGAAGAAAAGGGGGATAGAGCCCATTCCCCTCGTTACTACGCACCTGGAAAGCTCTTCGTTGGGAAGTTAGTAGTATAAAAACTGCAGTGTTTGCATGTCACAGTCCAACTCGAAGCACTTATTATGTGATATTACAGTATAATAAAGCAACATATCGCAGATTCTAACTTCGTTCGCAGAGTTGAGAGACACGCGCAATAACTAAATCAAATTGAAATCAAATACAAGGGCAGGTGTAAACGAAGCTAGGCTCAAGTAAAATACCTGAAGAATCTTGTGCACTCATCTTTCCAGGCTTGTGGTATAAGAGATTGTAAATATCAAAAGCTACTCCAAGAATGATCATAAAGCCAATCGCACCCCATATGTAGTAAAGATATAGCAAGGTCAGTCCTACGTCAAACGTGTTCTTGGCGTTGTCGATGATAGAGCTGTCGATAAGAGAGTAGTCATACTCGTACTGAAAAAATCAAGAGTATAAATTGATGAATATTATTGTTGATAATAGCCATGCTATTTTTGTATTTTTTTCGAGCGAAAACTGAACGAGCATGCAGTTTCGAAAAGCCGGTTCAGGCTATACTATAGAGGGTACTCTTTAATTATTCGTTAATCTAAGAGATGAATTTAACATGTAGAATATTAAAATATATTTTTTCTAGTAGAACAAATATAATGACTGTATTAATCCTTAACAGCATTGATGCATGATCGGCTGGACCAGACTTTACTTTAAAACAACCATAACGCTAACTTAGTTCTACCAGGCCAATTTTTATTATTTTGGTGCCAAAATTCATCCAGGATCCATTACATTAAGTTTTACTAATGATGAGCGGTGTAAAAATGTAGAAAATATCTATTGTATTTGTTTGGAACATACATGGGTCCCCTGAAGGAACAAAATATTCCAATTCTCAAGAGCTAACCATAAATTGATGTATATACGACCTAGGGAGATGCCAGTGTATGGTATAAGGGTATTTTTCGCAGTTGCTCCTGGTTAGGTCTAACTAATAAATATAAAACATTTTCCGTGTTGATATACAGTTATATCAACACGAGTGGAAATTGGGAAAACGAGAAATTGGGTGGAAACACGACGCCCGAAGGGCGGAGTGTTTTCACACAATTTCAAGTTTTCCCAATTTCCACGAGTGTTGATATAACTGTATATCAATACGGAAAAAATGTTTTATACTTGTTTTATAATATAGCACAAAGAAAAATAAAGAAAGAAATTTTCCGACATTTCCGTGTTAACATTGCCTTATATCAACACGGCTCTTAGCCAATCAGCGTTCAGAATTTACAAATGCTATATTATAAATAAATATATCAAATTTACGCTCGAAATTTCTATCCACAGAACCCTTCAATATATATTAGGTCAATCGAGTGATATGCCCGAAAGATCGTGATGTGTATTCATCTAACCGACGTACCTCGGATGAAATCCTAGATGTCATAATTTCCAAACAAGTATAAAAATCCTGATTACGGACCGATGAACCATCGCCATGTGACAACACCATGCCAATCTGATATGATTTGTCCAGTTCCTTCACAATATAGATATCAGAGAGCGGTAAAGAGCCATCTGGGTCAGACATGAGGAACAGTAAATCCAGGTAGTGTGGAAACAACAGTCGGTCGATAGTCTTCTTCTTCAGAGCTTTCAATGCAGGTTCAACTTGGGTAAATTCTGAATAATCAGGCTGGAGGTTAAAATCTAGCTTTAATTAAATTCACTACTAGAGCTGTATTTATACTGAATAAGCACTGGCAATTGTAATCTGTTCCGTAAACAGCTCCGCGGTTCTGATTGGTCGATATTTAGAGTGGATGATGTTATAGCCAAATAATGTTATATAACTATTGTTACTGCAGGGGAAGTACACGGGGAAGCACTGCTGAGTTGCTGATCCAGATCGCTGAATTGACAATAGAGAGCTTAAGGAGACTCCCTACAGTTTCCAATATATGTCAGTGTTTTAAACTAAAACCTATTATATTTAATTAATTTGAATCCAAAAAAACCTAATTTTTTTCACAAGCTATTGTTTCCTCTTATATAAGAGAGTAATTTTAACCCACAATCGCTAATCTTCATGTTGCCATGATAACATGACGTCACCATCTATATGGCCTATATCAACCAAAAAAAGCCGTCTTAGCGGACAAATAACCACGGTGACTTACTTGTTTTATTGCAGAAAATACATTGTTATGAAGTTTTGAATCTTTTTTGAAAGTTATTTGAAAATCGCCAGTGTAGTTTTCGAGAAACTGAATTTCAGCCTTTTCAAAGGCTAAAATGCAGTAATCTTAAAGGCTGAAATTCAGTTTCTCGAAACAATGTATTTTCTGCAATAAAAAAGGTAGGTCACCGTGGTTATTTGTCCGCTAAGACGGCTTTTTTGGTTGATATAGGCCATATAGATGGTGACGTCATGTTGTCATGGTAACGTGAAGAGTAGCGATTGTGGGTTTGTAAAATTACTCTTTTATATAAGAGGAAACAATGGCTAGTTTTTTTTCGATTCAAATTAATTGAATAGGTTTTAATTTAGAACACTGACATTTATTGGAAACTGTAGGGAGCCTCCTTAAGTAATCGACGTTTTTCATAACACGGGAGGCAACTGGAACATAGAGTAGATAAGACATACAGAGACGTAACTGACCGTTGTAAACACTGCGGAAGATTACGTTTTCATGTACCCACTTTTTTTCAGGCGACCGGGCGAAAAATGATCAACTGCGCGTGCTCAGCAAGTTTAAAGTGAGTCGTCATCAGATCGTTATCCAATCAGATGCATGCATCTAGTAACTTGCCGAGCATGCGCACAAAAAAAGTGGGTACACTAGTTACGTCTCTGTATGTCTCTACTCTGTGACTGGAAGTAAATTGAACAGTTATAGATGGCGCGTGATGGGGGCAGTCGTTCTTGTTGAAATAACGAATGTGTGACCACAGATTAAGAGGACCAGATGTCTGACTTCATTGAAAAAAGCGTAAGGGCTTGGTCACTGCGCATGTCTTACTGCGCATAGCTTAGCAAGTGACTAGAGGCATTCACCCCCCCGACATTAAATTTCAAAATGGCGGCAACAATTTTATTTTGAGACAACAAACATGAAAATAAACTCTTTTTATTTGCCCGAGAGAGGGATTGTGTGGTTAAATTTGTGTTTAAAACTTTCAACGTCAGTACGCGTATTGGAAAAGTGAGTTTATCACACTTAGTTTGCATTATTTTACGAATTTTTCTCTTTTTCGATCGTCGTAGGAGTGAAAAACCATAGGCGAAATGACAATGCCACTTTGCTGAGGTATTTGAAGTCATTTTCTACAATGTACGATGTGCTTTCTTGCACTTTTGTCGATGTCTGATATTCATTGACAAA